CATACATACATACATACATACATACATACACACACACACACACACACACGCACACACACACAGACATGAGAGTTAAGGATTTTATACCTATATATTGCCCACTTTCAAATGAATGTCCAAGCTGCCTTTTACAATCTCAGTGAATGATCACAAAACTTGGTGTTTTCTCCTGAAAGCTATCAAAATACGAAGTTTTAACCTGGCCTAAACAGAGATAATTTTAAATGAGGGAAAAATTTAGAACTGTGATCTTTCAACTGGAACAAGCATACCTCTGGAGATCAGAGTAGACTTAACTCTAGCAGGATTCCAGGAGGCATTTACAATCTGGCTTCTTCTTGTGTGCCCTTGGGGAATATGTGTGTTTAGTTTCCTCGCAACATTGTCTGTGAAACATTGTAGTAATCAGGTGGGTTGCTGCTGGTTTGGCCCGGATTGACTGAACCAGTATCAGCGGTGGCGGGAGGCTCCACCCATCTGCCTGGATGCTTCTGCTCATGCGCAGAAGTGTTATGCATGTGTGCAAGTGCGCGTGGGAGTGCGCCCGAACCAGTAGTAAAAAAATTAGCAACCCACCTCTGCTAGTAATGTGCATTTGGTTTTGTCTCGCACGGTATCCTGTTCAGGCAATTTGATCCTGCTAAGTTGGTGTAATTTGAGTTCCTTTGATTAACTAATGTCATCTGTTGGAACCTGGAGAATATACTTTTTCTGCAGATGCTCCTGCCTTCTGGCATATACTCTGAATAAATTATTATTAGTTTTAATACCATGTTTTAACCCAATTACTGTATTTGAAGTGTGAGCACTTAAAGTCACATGCAGGCAGGGGGACATATAAGTCTCATTAAACAATATTTAATTACATTACGTAAAAGAAGTATAGCACATGCATTTTGTCTATATGTGCAGACTGTGTATTCCCATGTCAAGCTAGGCCAAGACCAAATGATATATTATATAACTTGGCTCACAGGAATGTACAACTTTTCTGGGCTCTCCAGAGGGTCACCTTTGGCTTTTCAGTGGCGTGCTATGAGTCATTTCCCATAAAATAGAGGGTGGGAAAGAGACAAAACTACTTCCACATTTCCTTTAAATTATATATAGTTCTTGTATTTAATCACTTTCCATTCTGCCAAACATGCATATATTTTGTAATTTACTAAAACATTTCAGAACTTGGAGGGCACATATGGTCCTGGGGTCATTGGTTATATGCTTCTGATTTAATACATGTAACACAACAGTCAGATGAAATATGCTGAGTTGGAAAATGCATAGTTCAGAGTGATAAATTCAAGCTTTCTACAAATAGTCTGCAGCAGATCAACATCCTGACCTGTAGTAGAAGAGAATCCAAGAGCCTCCTTTTTCTCTGCTCATATTTATTTATGAGCAATTTCCATCTTTCACATAAGGTAACCATTGTCTTCTTAATCCTGCAGGAAGTAACAGATGCTTCAGTTTTTCAAACATTTAATACAGCAAATACACTTGATTCTTCTGGTTAGAAGAAAAAAAGTTATTGTTATTTTCAAATTTCTTTTATGAACTTAAAGGTGCAAAGTTTTCTTTGTGTGGCTAAAGGAAACTGAGGCACAGTGAATCTAAGTGGCGTGTTTTAAGTTGTTCAGTGAGCTCATTTCAGGCAACAGGTCTCTTCATGGTTTGCACTAGCCATTAAAATTAACACAATGGCAAAATTTGTGTTCCCATAAGCTATTTTTCCCTTACTGTAAAATTTTCTGTTTTTCTTCTTTCTGCTTAGGCTGCTTAGAAGTTTTCTTAATGTGTTGTTTTTGTGCTGGGTTGATTGGTATCTGGTGGCAGCAATTTTTTTTCCTGGTACCATAGTATCAGTGGTGGATTTAAAAATTTTTTAGAACCTCTTCTGTAGGTGTGGCCAGCTTTGTGGGAGTGGCTTGGCAGTCATGTGACTGGGTGGCTGTGGCCAACTTGTAAAATGTGGTGAAACTCACTTAACAAGCTCTTGCTTAGCAACCAAAATGTTGGGTCAGAAACTCTGGCATTTGAAGCATGCAAGTACTAAAGCTGTCAAGTTACAAGACCCTTGAACCCCTAACCCTTTAGAAAAAAAACCTCAGGGGTGTTCAAACTTGACAGCTTTAAGACTTGTGGACTTCAACTCCCAGAATTCCTCCTCTCGCTCTTCATCTTGATGATGTGCGGAGGGGCAAGGCGGGAGGGAGCGGGAACCGGTTCTAAATGGCACTGTAGGTTTGTGGAACCTCTTCTATAGAAGAGTTTAGAACTGGCAGGAACCGACCCCTGCCTAGTATCTATCACTTTTTAGGCTCTCCGGTGATCCTTGATACTTCCTGGTCTGAAGAAGCCCCATAGGGTGACTTTCCCTGGGGAGTCTCCCCTCAGAATTTAATTACAACATGGGAAAACCCCATTACTGAGTGAATGACTGCACATTCTCAGGCATGTCCTTGCTGATTTGATAAGTAAGAAACATTTAAAAAGCCTACAAATCCCCAATGAGAATGACACTGATCTTTAATTTCTGCAAGTCAATTTTTTTCCTCACCAAATTGAAAGAAAATGAGAAAAGGGGCTGGACACAACAAGCACAAGAGTAATTCTAACATCTTTTCCTGTGAACGTTCCAATTGAAAAATGAGAAATGAGCCAATGTGGCACAGTGGTTAAAGGGCAGTACTGCAGGCTACTTCAGCGGAGTGCTAGCTGCAGTTCAGCAGTTCAAATTTCACTGGCTCAAGGTTGAATTCCATTATTTCGAGGTGGGTAAAATGAAGACCCAGATTGTTGGGGACAATATGCTGACTTTGTAAACCACTTAGAGAAGTCTGTAAAGTACTATGAAGCAGTACAGAAGTCTAAGTTCTATTGCTATTGCTAAAAAAAAACAAAAAACACACCCAACAAATTATTTTTGAGAACTGCTCTCCTGATTTTTCAACTTTTCAAGCATTGATAATTTGGAAGGTTTTAGTTATATGAGAGAAATGGTCTTCAGACATGAGCTATCCAGACTACTGCTCTCAATGCACTGTAAAGTCATCCTGAAAGCTTAAGAGAATATTGGTGGTCCATTTTATTCAGCAGAAGAGTGAGTAAAATGCAGAAATTGCTTTATTCTATACAGAAATAAATTAATTAAATTTTTATTAAGTTTTTAAAGTATATTTAAAAAATATGAAATTTTGATTTGATTTGATTTTATTGTATTTCTATGCCGCCCTATTCCCAGAGGGATTCAGGGCGGCTCACAAACCAAGTCAAGGGGGGGGGGTACAAACAGGGAAAAAATTGGTTGCAAAGATACAAATCGACTTGTCAACATTAATACTAAGCCAGTTTCTGAAAAGATAAATTATTTATTTTCCTGGGTTCACTTTACAGTATGCACACAAACACACATCAAGTCAAAGGAAGGAATTTATGAGCTTCTTGGTAATACTACTACTTTATAGTTCTCAGATGACATACCTGTCAAAAGCAAAATGACCCATTTCTATCAGCTGCTCTCCTTGGCCATTGGTTGCATTTATTCGACGTTTCAATACCAACAGCACTTGTTCAAAATCCTCATGTTGCTTCAGGAGACTCTGAGCTGAATCCATGTGATCCTGAAAGAAAGACCATAAGAGTTACGACATCCCCATAATATTATTTCATGCTTATCTCCAGAACATGTTTTCCCAAACCACAAAGCAGACTCCTTGTCCTGACAAATGACCCTTTTTATTAAGTTACCGTGAATTCCTCTCATTCATATCCAGCAAAGTCTTTCAAAGGTGAATATACAGTCACAGACCCTATCTGGCTTGGAGAGCTGCTGTTGAAGTTCGAAGGAACAGATGAGGTGTGAGGTGGCTGAGGTAAGCGAAAAGCTATTTATTGTGTAACAGCAACAGTTAACTATGTACAGCAGTGGTAGTCAACCTGGTCCCTATCGCCCACTTGTGGGCATTCCAGCTTTCATGGTGGGCGGTAGGGGTTTTGTCCAATAGTGAAGCACGTTCCTTTTTTTAATTTAATTGACTTCCTTACTTTATAAATCACCATTACTGTGGAACCGGTGGGCAGTTAGAATTTTTTACTACTAACAGAGATACAAAAGTGGGCGGTAGGTATAAAAAGGTTGACTACCCCTGATGTACAGATAGAATTCAGCACCTCGCCCTGCTTGACAGTTATTTATACGGGAGCTGTCAAGCAGGGCGACCAATAGGAATACCTTTGGCAGCTCATGCTCAGCCAGCTGCATCTTAGCCAATCAGGCACGGTTGGGCTGTTGCCAACTGTCAATCATAGGTCAAGGACTTGCGGCTGGTCATAAGTCAAGGACTTTAGGACTGGTCGCAAGTCGAGGACTTAGCAGCTGCCAGGCCGATATCTTCAAAACTTGGCAAGGAGCCTCTGACAGCCACAAGGCAATTAAGCAAACTAATTGTCTTCTGCAAACTCTATTCCCCTTTCACTCCTCTTTTATTCCCTATGGGGGGAGCCATTTATCACCCACCTGTGGCCTTCTCCCATGTTGGCCCTTGCTCCTTAGCTGTTCCCTTCATCTGGCAACTTTGCGCATGCACACACTGGGAACAGGCTCCAGCTGTTCATCTGCCTCACTGATGTCTGACCGTGAAGGCAGCTGACAACTGTCAGACGGCCCCATCTCTGCCTTCGATGCAGAGCCCTCATCAGAGCCTTCTCCAGACTACAGGACTGGCCCATGTTCCTCCCCAACCTCCTCACTGTCCAAATCTCTGCCAGCTCTGCTGGCCACTAGTGGGCAACAACAGTAATGTAACAATAATTTAAGAATATTCGTTCCCCCTGAATTTAATTAATTTAATTAGAATTTTTAACAATGATGCTAGATGGTGTGGACTGCTACTATTCTCCATTTGGTTCATTGGTTATGAAGTTCTGAGACCATCTGAGTGGAATTTGCTTTTCCTGGGTGTACAAATATGGAGGCAAAGCTTAGCAATAGCAGTTAGCAGTTAGACTTATATACAGCTTCATAGGGCTTTCAGCCCTCTCTAAGCCATTTACAGAGTCAGCATATCGCCCCCACAGTCTGGGTCCTCATTTCACCCACCTCGGAAGGATGGAAGGCTGAGTCAACCTTGAGCCGGTGAGATTAGAACCGCTGAACTGCAGATAACAGTCAGCTGAAGTGGCCTGCAGTACTGCACCCTAACCACTGCGCCATCTTGGCCATCTTAGGTTCCTAACCTTCCATCAAAACAGGAGATATCAGTCTGAAAACACTTCTGCCTCCACCTTCCTACCTCGCTGAGGGTGTTTTTTAAAGCAAGAATGTATTTTCTAAAACAGGGTGTTTTGTGGCTCATTGTGTGCTTTTTCTTGACTTAAAATGAATGGAATACTTGTTATTATTTGTATTTATTTGAGTGATGGTTTGAAGTGATTAGTTCAGCATTTTTAATCTTGTAATTGTAAGCAGTCTGGAGTTGTGTGAAGTATATAAGCTTTGTAAATATAGGTACTCCTGGACTTAAAACAGTTCATTTAGTGACTGTTCATCAGTGAAAAAAGTGGCATGACCATTTTTTCACACTGATGACCACTGCAGCATCCCCATGGTAATGTGATCAAAATTTGGATACTTGGCAACCGGTTCATATTTATAATGATTGCAGTATCCTGGGAGTATGGGATTACCTTTTGGGACCTTCAGGCAAGTAAAGTCAATGGAGAAGCAATTATCACCATGTTACTAACAAGCATCACAGTGACAAATATGGCAAGAAATGGGGCAAAATTAATTTAACAGCTATTCACATAGCAAAAGAAATTTTGGGGTCAATTGTGGTTCAGGACTACCTATAAATAAATTCCAGTCTAAATTTGAAGTAAAATCATTAATAGTTACCCCAAGATTGTCCGTCTGAAAAAAGGCCTCATGGCTGGAGATAGCAGCAAGGATTGAACCAACTTCTTTGATGAATTTGTGCAATGCTATATTTTCCTGTAGCTTCTTCTGTTGCTCCGTCCATAACTCATCCAGCTCATTTCTTCCTTGAGCAATTCTGTCTATATATTCACCAACATCAAGAGCTCCAATGTTGGATGAACTATCTGCAACCTTCTCGCCTAATTCTTGCAGCTGCTTAAATCTGCCAAAGGTTCCAAAACAATTGCATATATCACATCTTTCTCTTGTTTGAATAGTATCTACACTTATTCATGTTTTAAGGTTTTCAGAGTTACACATGCTTCCTTAGAGAGGCATAATTGATTAAATATATCTATTCGATATTTTATTCTCAAATGGATGATGATAGCATTAAATTGTTTTTGTGGAATATACAGTATTGTCCTGGTTCTTACATTGCATTGTTATATTGGTTTAGAGAGTTCTGTTAATTCATCTATTATAGATTGTAACCATCATATTTGACTTACTAGGACTTAATCTTTTACATAAAGTCAACAATGATAGCCAATAACTATGATTTAGCACAGTATTTCCAACCTCCCTCCCCTGCTTTTGGTGAGTGAAGTAATATATGACTAGAATGAGTAGTCACCTCTGATTGTCCTTTTTATTACAGTAATTATGATTTTAAAATGTCCAAATCGGTATTGCAGATTGTATCATGATTACTAATTCAGCAATTCTTATATTTACTACATGGTCTTACAAGTACCTGTGATTCTGACTGTGTATCTCTTTCAGCAAATCCTGGTGCTCTTTCAGGAGCTGTTCTGCAGAGATCACATCTGTACACATCTCTTCACTTGTCAGTTTCTCCTTCATACCATCAATCCATAAGAGAAGTCTGTGGCTCTCTTGCAGAAAAGCTTGTTGATCCCTTGCTTTCTGCAAAACCACCTTCTTCTCCTCTGTTTTTAACTTTAACATTAATAATAGATTCTCCAAGTATTCTCCATGTTCTTTTATGGCATGACTCTCTGCAGGATTAGAATCTTGGATTCTGTGCAATGAAGCCGGAGACACATTATTGAATTAGAATGAATTACAATTATTAACCGAAGTCGAATTTCCCTGAAAAAAGGTATGCCTGATATATTGAATATTGTTAATTCATTGATTTTGTTCCACATCTAAATATTATTACATGATGAATGCAATGCGATAAATTCCCATGATTTGGAAATTTGTGTAAACATATTTCCAGGAAATTAATCAGAATCTATGTTAGCATGTATAGGGAAAATAGAATAAAAATGCATACCATGTTGAGCTAAGAGATATTAGCCGAAAGTTAATTCTAGTTATGAACACATCAGCTTGCTGAATGGAGGTCTGCCTTCCTAGATCACTTTATTAATTGAAAATATTAAATTGGTGTGAGATGTCTTGTATATTCAGGGAAATGATAGGACCATGAATAGTAGTAGTCAATTTAAAGAGAGCCAAGGTTTGTGCAGCGGTTAAAGAACCATGGTAGAAACTAGGAAACCATGACTTCTAGTTCTGCCTTAGACACAAATCCAACTGGATGACTTTGGGCCAGAGACTCTCTCTCAGCCCTAGGAAAAAAGGAATGGCAAAACCACTTCCCAAAAAATGGTGTCAAGAAAACTGCACGAATTAATCGGGGCAATTTCCAGACTTGGAGGCACACACACAAAGTTAATTTGAAATTACTTAACCATGAATATCACTAAGCAATTTTGAGACAGTCATAGAAACTATGAAGCTACTTATGCTAGCTGGAATGACTTCTTCTAGTCTTCTAGTCTTCTTCTAGGTTCTGTCTGATGGTACAAGTGTGTTGGTAGAAGTGTTATTCAAGGTCTCAGGGAGGATTGTATACAACACTTTATATCTGATGCTTTTAAGGTGTCAGGGTTGAAACTACCTAGTAAGACAAATTATCTACTATTGGGGCTCATAGCCAGGAGCCTTCTTCTAGGTATAGGCTCCTTTTCAACTAAGCTAATTTTATGACTGATAAAATTTTATGATTGATATAATAAATTGAGCCAAAGAGGGGTAAGATAACTTTGCAGGTTATTATGTGTCTCTTGAAGCAAAGCAGGAGTTACCATAATGAAGAAAAAGGACCTTGGAAAATATTGTTCTGAGTATAAAGACCATTCCTAATAATATTGATTCTTAAAGGAAATAAATCCCGGCTGTTCTTTAAAATGACAGATACTGAAGCTGAAGCTCAAATATTTTGGCCACATAATCATTGGAAAAGACCCTGATGTTGGGAAAAAAATAAAGGCAAAGGGAGAAGGGGATGACAGAGGATGATATGGTTAGATATTGTCATTGATGCAATGAACATGAATTTGGGGAAACTCTGTGTGGGCTAATAAGGGGGTCCTATCATGCTATAGTCCATGGGGTCATAAAGATGGACATGACTTAGTGACTGAACCACCACAACAAATAATATTGATAGTATTTATGATACTACTATATTTGGGATGCAAATTGAACAGCCCTGAGAAGGTGTGAACTGGCTAAATCCCACCACTGCATCCATCCATCCATCCATCCATCCATCCATCCATCCATTTATTTCTCTCTTTCAAAGTCATTCCAAACTCTGATCTATTCAATCAGGCTAACAACCTTTCTAAAAAGAAAAATGCATCTCCTTATTATTACTGCTAATCAACTAAAGAAAGAGGTATGCATCATTGCTGTACCTAAGTCAAGTTAGATATGCAGGTGTCACTCTTTGCTTAAACTGGTATCCAGATTATAAGTGTAACAACTATAATACTATTACTATAACATAGTAAAGAAATGATTTCTTACAAATTGGCTATCCTCTTTTGGTATTCAATTTTTCTCTCCAGAACTAAGATGTCTCTTTCACAGGCTGAAAGCTTGCGTGACTGCACTTCCAGGACAGCAGGCTTGTTCCCTTGCCCCAAATCCTCAAGGCTGGTCATTTTGTCTTGTAACAGTTCCTGAGTGTCACTGCAATCCTGAAGGAGCATCTTCACATCAGTAACCCCAACCAGTTCTGAGCCTTTTTCTTCTTTTAATGCTTCCAGACATTCCCACCTTTAAAAAATTCACAATAATAAAGCAGAGCTCATTAGGGTTAGTCATGAATATGTCTGTACATAGAGAGATTTTGAATTTTAAGTTTTAAGAATAGTTTAAATATAGAAAGCAGAGAATAGCAATACTCAATTCATTATGTAGTGGCAAGTATATTGGAATACAAATATACACTTCTAATGAATTTAGGCTCTTGGCAGCTGCCTAGAGAAGTCCTTGCAGTTTTCTTGGGACTTTGTAATTTGTCATTGCCACCTTCTTAGGAATGAATGACTGGCTCAAAGTCACCTAGCTGGCTTTGTGCCTAAAGCAGGACTAGAACTCCTGGTCTTCAGGTTTCCGGCCTGGTGCCTTAACCAGTATACCAAACTGCTTCTCATAATCATTATTATTAGGGTAAAATAAGAATAAACGTACATGTTTTAGAAAAGCTAATTATCACATATATATTTAAAGCTGTGGGTCTTTTCAAACATTTGCACATTAGATTCTTATATGTCACTGCACCCAAGTCTTTTAAAGACCATATATGAAAGCTGATATCTTCAGTTGCTATCAGTTGTATCTTATTTTTACCTCTTGTTTATCTCTTGCTTACAAGTTTGGATCTCCTTCTGTTTTCCGGGACACCTCTTAGAAAACATATCTGCTGAGGAACTGATCTCATCCAGCTGTTTTTTCCCAGCAGCCAATTCTATTAGGAAATTCTAAGAAAAGAGACAGTAACCTAAATCATATACTTTCATCTCTGCCATAGTTATTTATGGAAATTATCTTGGCTGGCCTGGGAGGAGTAAAATGACAAACATATGCTTTTTTATGCTAATTTGTTGCAGAAGCTGTTAATTGTTTGCAATTGTTTACAATCACTGTCATATGAAAAGTTTCTTTATTATAATTAATGTTTTTGCATATCAAACTTGTTTCCAGATGGGGCAGACTCAGGCACTATCAGCTAAACCTAATGGGTAAGCTATTCTAATGTCATACCTTAACAGATTTCTGAAAGACTGAACGGAAGTCTGAAGAAATGGTGGGGAACATGGGAGTATTAAAAATGGAAAATGACAACATCAAAAATATCACTTTAATTGGGTACCCAGGCTTTCTCTAATTTAAAATGCTTAGGATAAACTCAGTCCTTGAATGGGCAGAAAACTATACCAGCATTTATTTATACAATGTTTTAATCCAGATGGAATTTATAGATACTGATAGTATAATAAAAGCAATTAGTACATGTTGTTAAAAGGCTTAGAGGGGAGGGGAATTTTGACAACACCAGTGGGTTTGCCTGTCAGTCAAAACTCATTCCTGGTTTGTTTGTTTCAAACAGGTGCTACTAGAAGGAGGAGTTCTGTGATAGAGTGTATAAGAAAGCTGACTTTATCTTTCCCTCCAGCATTCCAACTAGGGCTACTCTTGAACAAGCACACAACCATTTCTTAACCTGGTTTAAGAGATAATGAACACGCTTTGCTGCTGACTGACATGTTTTGAAAGTTGATTGAACAGGCTCTCTCTATCTTTCAGAATAGCAGCCAGTCCCCAACAGCTGTATATCCTTCATTCAAAGCCAGGACTCTTAGCTTGGGATCAAGATAGACAGTCCTGTTGGTAAGAACCAGGTGATCCCACTGCCCCACCAGAATGGCTTTGATGGATCATGCCAGAGCAATACCTGCAACAGCCTGAAATGCTTAAGAGATATCAGGCTCATGCCATTCCATAGGTTTTATTGAAATAACACGTGCAGGAAATATTTGCCCTGAGGTCAGATACAAAGGGGGGGAAGGATTTAAGCTTTATAAAGGCATAACTTGTCTGAAATGAATCTGTCTGCCTTTTTTATGCTTTCATTTGTTGAAGTGAAGCTCAGAATTAATAGCAATAGCACCTAGATTTATATAGCGCTTCATAGTGCTTTTACAGCCCTCTCTAAGCTTTTTACAGAGACAGCATATTGCCCTCAACAATCTCATTTTACCCACCTCAGAAGGATGGAAGGCTGAGTCAACCTTGAGTTGGTGAGATTTGAACTGCCGAACTGCAGCTAGCAGTCAGCTGAAGTAGCCTGCAGTACTGCACTCTAACCACTGTGCCACCTCGGCTCTGAGGTGTTAAAAAGAAGGCTAGTCCTACTTTTGAATATGGACTAGAGGTGGTATTCAGCAGGTTCTGAGCAGTTCTGGAAAACTGGTAGTGGAAATTTTGAGTAATTCGGAGTACAGGTAAATAGCACCTCTGACTGGCCCCGCCCCCATCTATTCTCTGTCTCCTGAGTCACAGCTGATCGGGAGGAAATGGGGATTTTGCAGTAACCTTCCCCTACCATGCCCACCAAACCACGCCCACCAATCCATGCCATGCCCACAGAACTGGTGGTAAAAAAAAAAATGAATCCCACCACTGATATGGACATACAATAATCTGCCCGCAAATACAGGTAATACAGGTAATACAGGTAGTAATTAGGACTGGACTTGTTAAATCAGAAATAATTTATCACCAATTGTTGATCTTTTGAATAATCCATTTGCTTAATCTTTGCATTGGGTTTCAAATTGCAATATTATTTTCTATAACTTGTAGATCGTCTGCTTGTCCAATAGTTAGCCTGCAAAGGTATTTCAATTTCAATTAAGCCTCTGTTGTTTTGGATGCTATAAACAATGAATATTTCATAATCTGAACAAGCACAAGTGGTTTTCTTTGCAGATTTACCAGTCAACTAAGATCTCTAATAATTGGCTAAAACTCTTGCCATATTTTTACTGAGATGTAATATTTTATGTCAGTGTTAATCTTTTGTAAATGAAGACAAATCAGGAACTCAAAGTACAGTCTGATAATAAAGACCTGGAATTTTTGCTGCATAGCTTCCACATTGTTGGCTTTCGGTTGAATGGTCTGGAAAATTTTCTCCTTGTCATCTATCCAAGACTGAAACTCTTCACAGGAGTTGTAATATTGATAGAGTTGGATTCTTTCTTGTAACTCTTTTTTCCTATGCTGTTTGGAAGAAATTAGAAATGCTAGAATAAGCACTAAAGCATTGCTGATAATGTAGGTATTCTATCAATAAAAATAGTCAGAAATTTTCACTGAACTTAAGAAAATCCATGTATCTAACCCCTTCATTCTACACATCCAACTAAAGATTATTAGGAAAAAATAATACCTCAGCCATGGCTTGCAGTTTTTCATACAGCAAAACAATGTTCTTCTGCATTTTCCATATGCTTTCTACAATAACGTGTGAATCAGAGCCAAGGTGTCCAGTGAATGTAGGTTTGACAAGTATCTGTGAAAGATAATGATTTGATGGCATTTTAGCTACTCTCTGGTTGTTGATTTCTGAATTTGATGCTGGCACAGATGCCATCTGCTCAGAGAACTAGGCACAAAATTCTATGCTCAATATTGAGTTATATCATTCACAAATGCTAAATATGCATAGTGGCATCTTAATTTATATATACGTATCTATGAAGATTCTCAGTCATCCAGGTCATGGTTGTCCCAAAGGTGCTTTTTCAAGAGGCAACTGGACTTACTTGTTTTTCTTTGGAAACATTTCACATCTCACCCAAGAAGGTCTGACTGGATGGTGGGGAATGGAAAGATTTATACTTCCTGCAGACAGCTGGTCATTTGCATTCTTTTAGAGCAGGGGTGCAAATTCGCATCGTCACGTAGGTATCAAGTGATGTATTGGGACTCCCCCCTTCATTAAACCAGCCATGGGTGTGACACATTCAGCCCACAGGCCACGAGTTTGACAGCCCTATCTTAGAGAGTCATTGAGATCACTTGGAGGTTTATCTTTGTTTTCAACTGTGCTTTCAGCAGTTCCAAGAAAGCTCCACACCATTTGCACTATTCAGGTGACCCTGAGGACACAGATAAACCTCCAAGTGGCCTCAATACCTTTCTAAAAGAATGCAAATGACCAGCTGTCTGAAAGGAGTATACATCCTTCCATTCCCCACTATCCAGTCGGAGCTGTCTTCTAAGAAAAACAAGAAAATCAAGTTGCCTCTTGAAAAATCACCTTTGGGACTTCATTTATATCCTTAAAGATTGATTAGTATTATAAAATACTATATAGTATTTAATATAGTATTTAATATAGTATTTAATATAATTGGAGGGAAAAGGCCTGGTTTTCTCAAACACTCAATAAAGCATACTAACAATCAATTTCAGCTAAATGATGGAAATAACTTGAGGTTGTATGTTGATGTTATATGTTTATAATGCTTCACCATACTTTAGATACAGCAAGTAAAAAGTGATGGTATGATATTGCATACAAAACAAACTTTGTACATTTTTGGTATCTATTTTAAGCTATCTATTTTGGGGAAATATATTAACCAATTTCATTGTATTTATTTTGTACAATGACAATAAAGGCGCTGTGCATACAAAATAAGGTGCATCTAAAAGATAAGGGTTTATTAACCAGAGATATTAATTATACTAAAAAAGATAAAATGAGACTGTCTTAAAACATTAAGGTTTGAATAAGCAAGCAATACGGGGGGGGGGGATTGATTTGATCATTAGAGAGGAATGAATGAGAATTTAATCACAAAACAAAAGCACAAGTGGATGTGTTTACATCATCATATATTCCAAATAAGTTTGCCTTCATAGTTTCAGAATGGCAATTTCTCATTTTACAAATTAAGCATTAAATATTGTGGAGTAAGAAGAAATCTCAAATATGACACCATGATGGCTAAAATCTCAGGCCTTACATAGATCCATGGAAAAAGGAAAACGTGCCATTTGTAGATAAATATTTAATCAAAGATCACAGGAACGGAATTTATTTTAAATAAGTATGAATTAGAAGGGCAATCTGAGATGTGTCGGTTTCATTTAGTGTTTTTTCAGCTTGTCAACTTTAAGTATGTCAGTGGGGAATTTTGAGAGCTGAAGCCCACACATCTTAAAATGTCCAGGTTTAAAAAAACATTGGTTTAAGTGCATCAGTAAATTTGTGTATATTTTGGGCAGACAGTTATGTAACTTAAAATATTGCCTGGGTGTTACATACCACTTGCTGTGCCACAGAATGGGCCTGTTCTTCCAAGTGGCTTATTTCTGTAAAATAAGCAGCAAGCTCCTTTTCCAAATGAAGATGACGATGTAATAAAGCTTCTGCACTAGATTCATCTTTCCCAAAATCTTTGCTGGCTAGAAGAGTGTGTTTTTCCTGGAGCCAGGAGTCAGCCTCATTAATATCTGCAAAATACTGAAGGGAGAAACAAGATCGAGGTATTGTGGTTATACCTACAGATAACATTCCACTGCAGAATAATTTATGCAAAGGAAAAGAATCATTTGCTTAAATCCCAATGTAGGCCCAGAGCTCCATTTTGCTCGCATTGAAAAAAAAATGATCAGACTTGGTCAAAACTGATAGTATATTAGAAGTGGGGGGAAAATTCATTCAGTATTTTTTTTAAATGATATTAAAACACAGAAACACCCACTCATGTCTATACAAGTAAAAAGCCCAGAAAATTTAGAATTGAATTGAATTGAATTTATTATATTTCCACCCTTTTCTCTGAAGGGGATTCAGGGCGGCTCACAACTCAAGTCAAGGGGGGGGGGGTACAAATAAGGAAAAAAAAGAACATGAACAAAACAATGCCACAATTTAAAAACACACAACAACCATACCATTCTAGAGGGGACAAAAGCTCATTAGCCCCAGGCCTGTCGGAATAGCCAGGTTTTAAGGGCTTTGTGGAAGGTCAAAACAGTGGCCTCACTTACTACAGCCCCATAAATGAAAAACCATTCACTTATGATATGGTGATAGAGTATCTTACAGAATTTAAGGTAGAAGTTAATAATATTTTTTCAACTTTTTTGCCTTGTTTGGACAAAGGAGGAGATTGACTTACCTGTTGAATGAGAGCAGCTGTATCCAAGCGGACCTTACAATTAGTCATCTCATCTTGGAGCTGTTGCCACAATTGCTGGATATCTTTCAGCTTCTTTTGAATCGCTTGGTTTGAAGGATTATTCTGCTTTAACTCTCGGCCTTTGCAAATTATTTTAGAAGAAATTGCTTGATGGGAGTCACACTCAACTTGGAGAGACTGCCAGACAGAAATTGGGAGGTTATCGTTGGATGCTGCTATAGAAAGTCAATAAGGTACAGTGGTTAAGGAATGGGAGTGGGGAGTTTTTAATCCACCTTAAGGGTGATTTAGGACTAGCTTAAATTAGGACTTTTCTCTCAGATCAACCTATGTATAGGGGGGGGGGGGCTTTTGAAGAAGGAATGATGAAATGAAACAAAGACCAAGGAATTTATGAGTAGATTGATTCCTTGGAATCTCTCTAGACAAGGAGAAGATGGGAGATTACCCACATGTGCTTTGGACAGCTGTTCCTCACAAGGACATAGGATAGGATTATTCCAAGGATTAATGGTATGTGAAATGACCTTGGAACATAGGAGTAAGAGACATTGCCTAGGAAATGAACAAATAAAAAGTGGAGGAGCATGCAGTTGAGCAATGGAAAGAGAAAAGTTTAGAAAGGATCCACCCTAATTTATCAGACAGTAAAAAAAGATGGCAGGAAATTGGTACTTTCAGATCTGCAAAATTCTTACAATGTATGAAGCCTTACAATAAAGTAGAATTAGTTTATCTTATGTTTCCTGTCTGGTCTACTTGTGTTGCTGGCAGCAGCCACAATATTAATGTCAGTAATGATTTTTTGCTTCTTGGGCGTAGATAGATTATACCCCAAAATATTGATGAAATGATATAGAGATGGTTTCAAAAGTGGTTCTGAAATTGACAAGAGAATGGCTTAGAAAAGGATGTGCATTTATTTTCCTTTATTATCATCTTACTTTCCTCTTGCTTCTCTTCTTTTTTCTTGGCTTTTTACTCTTCCTTTCTAATCTCCTTTCTTTAAGTTTCAAAGAAACAAAATAGATTTTACTATGGCAACCAAAATTCTTAATAAAATTATATAGAAAAAGCAGGAAGAAGGAGGGCAATATGTGCTTCTTACAGTTTTTAGAGAAATCTAAGTACTTAGGAATGCTAGTGAGAGTTTTGTTTTCTTCCTCTCTGTAACACCACCTTATGGCTTCATCAGAGATAACAATGAGAAATATAGTTTCACCATTCCATTCATAGCTTTTCTGTGGATTTCTATTAAAGTTGCACAAATGATAAAGAAAATATATTTTACTAACCTTATGGCTTTGGAGAGAGGCTGAAATATGAGTGAGATCATCCTCTAAGGTTCCCATCTTCACTAATTTCCATTTGTCAGACAACCATTTCTCTTCTTCTTTGCACTCATGAAAAAATTCAAAAAAGTTCAATGCCCCTTCCAACTGATGTTGCCTGAATTAAAGAAATGATGTACTTTAAAAGGGTCACAACTAGAGACTATTTCAGGTTTTTTAGTAGTCCCAGCTTATTAAAATATAAAATATAGTATAGTCCCAACCTTACTTTTACTCCAGAATCATACAACAGAAGAAACCATGGAACAATTTTTTAAATATTTGCTGCTATTAATTGATTTGGAAAAATTATAGTTCTATACTTCTGCTTTTTCCTTCTCATGGAAAAACCTCCTGTGTATCACTTAATTTACTATTACACTTCTCAGAAAAATTAAAATGCATTAATTAAAGGGTGGCTATGTAAAAAAAAATCTTGATTTCCCCCCCATAATAACTTTTATTCAGGGACAAGAAAATGGTAAATAAAGTTCTTTCCAAACTTTAAGAAAACATAGCGAAGCCAAATTAAAATACATGTTCCCCAAAATCCCCCAATCATACAAAAAAACCAACAACAAAAAAACCAACCCAAAATCCCCAATCCAATCCCCTACCTTTACTCCACACAACCTTTGATGCTAAGGTTTCCTACAGATTGCTTTCATGCTCACTCTAAAGATGTCCCTAGTATTTAATAGTATATAGTATATAACGTATAGCGTATAGCGTATGGCGTATGGCATATGGCATATGGCATATGGCATATGGCATATGGCATATGGCATATGGCATATG